TATATATATATATATATACAGTTTTAATTGTTTATTTTCTATATTTATTTCATAATATATTAAAAAATATGTATATTATTAGCATTTTGTGCACATATTATTTTACTTTAGTTGATATAATTTGTTATTGTTTTATTATTTTATTTATTTATTTTATTCATTTTTTATTGTCAGATTTTAGAGCTCAATTTACACTAATTATAATTATGGCTTGCAGTCATTTGAGAATTAATGATGCTGTTAATCACAAATCAGTGTTTGGTGAGAAAATCCTTAAATGAAGATCATTTAAATGTCCTAAAAGAAGAAAATTGAAGACAATTAAATTGTTTTCATGTTTTTGTTGTTGTTTTTTTAACAGGTCAGAGTTTGATTGATTAATTTTCAAATAATGTATTCTTTAAATTAAAATGATGTATTTTTTATAATTTCATAAAAACTACAGTATATATAATGAAGTGTGTAAAAAAATATTACAAGCATTTTTGTGCATATATTGTTAATTTATCTTAGTTGATATAAACCTTTTTTTTTTTTTTTTTTAATAATCTGCATTGAAGTATCCGTGACCCTGACATCAGGAAATAATTTTCAAATAATGTATTCTTTAAATTAAAATGATGTATTTTTTATAATTTCATAAAAACTACAGTATATATAATGAAGTGTGTAAAAAAATATTACAAGCATTTTTGTGCATATATTGTTAATTTATCTTAATTTAATTAAACCTTTTTTTTTTTTTTTTTTAATAATCTGCATTGAAGTATCCGTGACACTGACATCAGGAAATCCTCTACCAACTGTACTGCAGTGCGAATCGATTCGTCCAGCACTGAAGCTCAGGTCTGCTCTAACTATACGGACCCTCCACCCCAATCCACCGCCACCGCTTTACTGTAAAAGGCCTTGATTAATTATTTACTCTAAGTGGATGCATTTCCATCTCCACTGTGCCTACACTTCTAAACTGCTCTGCTTGAGGAGAGAGTCGGGCATAACAACCAGCTCTTTAGACATTCAAGAACAACACTGAGAGTTTGTTTACAGCATTTGAAAGGAGAGCCTTTCTGATACTCCATAACACCCTTCAAAAACTTTACAAGAGTTTTGAGTCTCTTAGTGTATGCTTGTGTACTCGCTGTTTGGCTTTTTTTGGCACTGGATATGAATTACTACTGGGGAAAATGATTCATAGATGCATTGTGATTTCTTTCTCAAATGAATCTGGAATGATTTTCAATTTATAATAGTTTGATAATTTAAATAAATTATTAATAATTGGTTATTTAAATTAAAAACAATTGTACTACATTACGGCTTTTAGGTAGCTAAAATGACCTATTTAAATATCTATTGTCAAAATTAACACATGCAATTAATTTATTCAGTTTAACAAGTTAAAAATATTAGGGGTCATTTAATATTAATATTTAATATAATTTAATATAAGGGGTCATATGATGTTGCTAAAAAGAACATTATTTTGTGTATTTGGTGTAATGAAATGTGTTCATGCGGTTTAAGGTTAAAAAAACACATTATTTTCCACATACTGTACATTATTGTTTCTCCTCTATGCCCTGCCTTTCTGAAACGCGTCGATTTTTACAAAGCTCATCGGTCTGAAAAGCAAGGTGTGCTGTGATTGGCCAGCTATCCAGTGCGTTGTGATTGTCCGAATACCTGAAGCGTGTGACGGAAATGTTACACCCCTTACCATACTGTGATGCCGTGTCCCGGCCGGAGCGATGAGACAAAAACATTAAAACCCATTATAAACGAGGCGTTTGTTGCATCCAGTGGGGACATAATTACGGATTATAATGACTTGTACTGTCTTTTTACGCGTTGTGTTGCATCGCGCCGCGTAAACATAAAACCATGTCTGCATTTGTGATCGGAGAAATGACAAACTACAAGTGCTACTCTACACTGCCCAAAACTCGCGTTTAAATCATCAGTGGCAAATTCTTTAAATATAAAAAAACGTACTTACAGTCTGTGAGTCAGCAGCCGGCATTGTAGTCTACTCT